GGAGATGGGGGAAAGTGACACTCACTCCCGGTAGCTGCTCTTCCCCTATGCTCACCCCCCCCCCCCCCCCCACACACACACACACACACACACCTTACTTGGAAAAGATTAAACTTTCGCTGAAAGAAGGAAACCGAAAGTATTGAACAAGCCGAAAGCTTTCGCTTCCGCTTCCAAGAGCGCATTTAACTTTAGTTGCGACTTCTACGTTGAAGTTTGAGTTCTGTCTATTTTTTATTATTATTTATAAACTGCTTTAAATTATTAGTTTACAGCACTGCGATTAACCCCATTTTCGAAGCTTGACCAGCATCAGAATTAAATATAGAATTGATTTGTTTCGCTTGCAAGGTGGGAACGTCGAGCCGCATGCATCTCTGACATTTGAAAGGTTTCTCTTGTTCCTGTCAGACACACCGGTCTGTGTGTCGATGATGGAAGCTAAGATGCACATGAAAGAGTGGCTGGTAGCTCAGATAGAGAGTGGGAAATATGAGGGGCTGTGCTGGGAAGACGAGAGCAAGGCGATGTTCAGGATTCCGTGGAAGCACGCAGCCAAGAAGGACTACAAACAGACGGAGGACGCGGCTCTCTTTAAGGTCGGCGCTCATGTCATATTCTCTAACGTGGAAGTTTTGGATGAAGTACATTTTGAATTTATTATGAGAAAGAAATTGATCCAGAACGTCAGTCTAAATTTGTAAAGGCGGTTGGATAAAACCACCCCCTATTTAGCTAAATGTATTTATTTATTTAAGGCCAAGTACATAAATTGACTGATGAAAAATAAAACCTCTGCACATTGTACCATGTTGAACTACTTACTTTGGAAACAGGTTTATAGGCTAAATGCATATTAGTAAGTAATTCTACTCTGGCCTGTTGTTAAGCAGAAGTGCCTAGTTGTCTCCTTTCTCCCACACAGAAGCAACATGAGCTGCCTAACTATTCAGAACACATATTTGCTTTTATTCCTGATCTTTTGCAAAGGTTTAAAATAGCCCAAAGACAATTTTACTTGCTGCCCCACCAAAATGTATTGGCCTCTGTCCAATAACTTTTTATTCATTTGTTAATCATTAATAGTATTATTATTTCACTCTTTTTCAAAAAGGCTTAAAATATAGTTGGAACTGTGGGTTGATTGGAGAAGATCCATTCTGTTCCTTTCTTATTATGAAAGTGTCTTTTTCTTGTTTCTTAATAATGAGGAGTTGCCTCTTTCTTGCAATGCTGTTTTTCAAGGCTGTGTTGCGTAAGTGTTTAGATTCTATTCCAAGAATAACCAGTTGGAAGAAACACTGTCAAAAGAAATGTACTGTCACCTTTCTGTTCACAGCATAAACATGATTGTCGACATTTAAATGCTTGCCACTGGGAGACAGGCAAGCTTTAGCTGATGAGTGAGGGAATGAAAGAAAGAAGACAAATGTGGTCGAAAGACTTTTGATTCTGCTGGTTTAATTCACTTAAAGGTATTCAGTATACTGTAAAACTAAAATGTTATATCTTAGAATTAAGTACATTTAAATAACTTTGATAGTGTCAACACATCTCACATTTTACTTCATCTGAATCAGAGCCACTTCAGAACTTATTAGCATTAGCTAAAGTTGTATCAAGTAAAAATGACTAGATTTCCAACTCGTTCATCTAAATTAATTTAAGGAACAGATGATAACAAAAATATTGGTGACTAATATTTACTGCTTTCACACTGCTCTGGATGGAGCTTTAGTTAAAGATAATCAATAAAAGAACAATATATATATTTCAGGTATATATACCCTTCAAAGAAAAGACACTGCTAATACATTTGCTACAACAAAATAGTGTTCACATGTTGAAATATATGTGTTTAACCAGTTTTTTCATTAAATCATATTTGTTTTTAAAATTATTTAATTTAAATTATTTAAGTGTCTAAAATGTCAACGTTCACATTCAGGCCTGGGCTGTATACAAGGGCAAGTACAGGGAGGGGAGGGATAAAGCCGACCCCACCATGTGGAAGACCCGTCTCCGCTGTGCACTCAACAAGAGCACAGACTTCCAGGAGGTCCCTGAACGCAACCAGCTGGACATCACTGAGCCTTATAAAGTCTACCTCATCCAGCAGGACAATGGGCCAGCCAGGCCAGCAGGTAGACATGAACACAAACGCTCCTTTCCTTTCATATCGAAAGGTTGCATTTATATAATGAGCTTTCCGTTATCAACTTTTTGCCGATATAAAAAAGTGGCCCCTTTTTGAATTGCTCTTATTTGTGTTCTCACTTGTTGCTCTCCTCAGAGTCTCCCCAGACTAAAGATCAAGTGATCCAGGATATGAGGTCTCCAAGGAGCCCTGCCTTTCTGGACAAACAGGTAAGTTAAAAACACAGAGCCAATATGCTATGAATTGACTAAAATAATTTAGAACTTGCTGAACACTTGACACTGACAGTGACTTAATGCTAATAATCAGTCTCTCATAAATAGGTCTCATTATTTCTCCATTTCTCAAAGAAAATGGCAGTGAAAAGGTTAGCGGAGGACCATTTATTCCAAGTGTCTTCTGGTCAAATTTGCTTGACTTTTTTTTTTTTTTTTTTATACCACTATGAGTCACCAAAAAGTCCCTACCCTACATATGGAGCGTTCAACAATGTATTTTTTATGTAATTGCTTTGAGGGACTTTGTATTAGTGTCCACAAAAGGACTTCTTCAGACTGTTGCAGCAGAAAACATTTGGGATGTGGTGGAAAATCAAACTGGTGTAATCCTGTAAAAAGATCTGATCCTTAAACTTTAACTTTAACTCCATGCTGTGTTAACCGACATTTTGTTTTTGTAGCTTCGTTGTCAAAAGGAATCATTTCACAGAAGGAAAGAAGAAGTAAAACCATTCACTGGTGAGTATTACGCACACAAACTGATCCCGTTCTATAGAATGTTTATGGAGGATCCAAAGAATAGGGAAGTCAAACGATCAAGTCATCAAAGGGTCACCATCCCAGTCGATACACCCGGAGGAGCCAATTAGCGCTCACATCTAAAAGTAGTGAACAGTTATTGACCAATCACAAACGAGAGCTGGTGCAGCTTGTTGCTGCAGTTACCGACTCTGGGTGTAGTTGTTTGTGTATGTTGGAAACAGATTCAAGTTTGATGGACACAGATTTAAACAGGAGAAAAAGAAACAGACTGAGTGTTCAATCGGAAAGTTTTTCCCGGACTTTCATTTCACTTTGGCTGGGAAGTAATCCAACACGTTCACGTTAATGAGTCCGTCAGTCAGCGATGGCTGAGCCTCTATAACACCCACGTGGGCAGAGTTTTGTTTTGGCCTGACATTTGGATCCCATTTGAGCGGTCCAAACAGAGCCTGGTCGCATTTGTCCGTTTACCTCAAACATGGGAGTGGTCGCAGTGAAATCTCTCAACAGCTATTGGAATGGAATACCATTCAATTTGGTGGACTCACAGTGTTGCTAACATGGCTGCAGACTCTTGTTTGTTGCTTCCTGGACTCAGTAGAGTTTGTTTAAGGTGCTCTTTGGATAAGGATACATGTCGACAGGAAAATCAGAAGAAAACTCCAAAGCGCTCTCTTTTAAAGTATAAAATGCAGTGTTTCGGAATCAAGCTTTTGGTCTGTCCCAGCAAAGAAACAGTATGGATAAAGTTCTGATTGAATAATGTCTCTATTCTGCTTTAGATGATCCAATGAGGGAGCACATGTATTGTGAGCTCACAGGAAAAAAGTCTCTAAATCAGAGCCCCGCTACTATAACCTTCAGCCCCACGCTTACTGTATCAGGTAAGCTTACGGGATTATGCACAGAAAAAAAACTCACTGGCCTTTGCGCTGTACGAACCTGAACACAAGTTCCCTTTTGTGCGTGCAGACTTTCGTATGCAGGTGACGTTGTTGTACCAGGGCCAGAGGGTGCTGAAGGTGACCACCAGGAGCCCAGAAGGGTGCTTCATCCTGCAGGGCCACGTCCCCTTGGGAAACGAACGGATCTACGGGCCCTGCACCGCCCAGCAGCTCTCCTTCCCCTCCCCGGGCTCCGTGTCCCTGCCGTCATGGATGGCTGAAGCGATGAGCCGCCTCCTGTGTCACCTGGACAGGGGTGTGCTATTGTGGGTGGCCCCGGATGGGGTGTTCATCAAGCGGTTCTGCCAGGGCAGGGTGTACTGGAGCGGTCCCATGGCGCAACACGCCGACCGGCCCAACAAACTAGAGCGAGAAAAGACCTTCAAACTGCTCGATATACCCACATTTCTCAATGGTAAGGCTGTGAATGCATGAACTAAAATGTCAGCCACTAAAAAAAGCAAAATATGATTTATTCAAAGAGAGGCAGATTATTTGCGATGCTTTATTGCTCACATTATTGCTCTATGCAAAGAGGGAATATGTCTGTATGATCGCATCAGAATATCCCAATATGAAATGTTTGTGTACAGAGCTCCAGAGCTGTTTACAGGGGAAGGGACCAACGCCTTCTTATGAGATTGAGCTCTGCTTCGGAGAGGAGTATCCAGACCCCAATGTGCCTAAAACCAGGAAGCTGATCATGGCGAAGGTGGGCAACTTTCATTATTTTTTTCCTCTTCCATATTTACCCTGAACGCATATGTGCATATTTTGGCTGTAGATGAATAATATCATGTTTAAATTGATGATTGACTCTCTGTTAAACGCTCCCTTAAGAATTTCTGTTTCATCACATCAAACTATGTCCAACATTCTGAAGTCAATTTGATCCTCATCGGGTTCAGATTTTTCTGTGGAATTATGATTACAGTTTTGTGGATTTAGCACCCGTGCAAAAGGATGTGCGTGGGTTTTCCCTTTCGTTCTAATTCTAAGTGATCTTGCATTGTAATGTCATGGTGTGAACAGTGTGTCAGTGTAAATGAATGATTTACTTACTTGGACTCACAAAGTTCTATTTGATTTTTATAGCATGTTGAAAAGCATGCCAACTCTGTGATTAGAGATGCACCGATACTGATCAAAGATATCGGTCTGGTGCTGACTCAAATAGCCGGATTACGTGTCGGTGACAATGGGCCGATATGGTATTGGATACCATTATTTCAATAAATTACAATTCCGTAAATTCATATTTATGTACTTATTTGTTACAGTTTGTTTTACAAAGTTAAGAAAGCAACGTTTAAGTCAAGCCTGATGTTGCCTTTTACATAAAAGAATGATCCAAGTCTCTTCTAACCATTCAAGAATGCAGTTTATTCATTTAATACCGGTATCAGGTCGGTTCTCCGTATCGACAGATACTGAAAGCCCGGGCTGCAAAAGTCGGATCGGTGCATCCCTATCATTGACCTGCAACAATCCAGTCGGACGCTTCCTATTCCTGTGTGAATGCTCCCTGTCAGTGTGAAGCACAGCTGTAGTATTTTCAAACACCAGCAGAGGTCCTCCTAATCATACTGATGGTGTACCACGCTGTGTGTCCCGTTGGCCAGGTGGTGCCCTTGTTTGCAGAAGAGCTGCTGCAGAGGTTCAACTTCCTCGAGATTGATGAGAAGCGGCCGATTCTCACCTCCAACACAGAGAGAGAGAAGATGTAGGACAGGGAAAGCTTCCTGGCACCTGGGCCGCCATGAACAATGTACAAGTGGATTACTGAAGTTCCATTCCTTTTTTCATGAGAGACATCCTCAGAGCTGAGCAAACAATACAGAGCATCATCAGTGGAAAATGTATCCACAATGACGAAACAATGGAGGTGTTGCATTGTAGTCTAGACCTATTTGTGATTCATAAAGGGATTTTTTTTGTTTTCTTATATATTGTCCACAATAACTAATGGCAATAGGTATTAGGTATTAGCTGTTGTTAAAGCAAAACTCTTCTTTAACCCAATAAAACATGCTGAAAACATCTGTCTATGTATGCGTGTGGGCCAAATGTGAGGGTATGCAGGATTGTCCCCAGGAGACCCCGCTCATCTGATCGAACCACTTCACACTTGGTGGGTTCATTGCTGGGGACCCCGAGGGAGTGCCTTGACGAATTTGGTGCAATTTTGACTCATTCAATATGTGATTAAACAAGCGAGCAGTGATCTGTGTAGCAGCGGGGGGGGGG